TGGTGCTTAGTTGCTGGCTGGGGCTAAACCACAACAAGGTGCAAGCTCCTGTGGAACTGAATCCTACCAGCAAGAGTTTACTTTTCTCACTTACCTTCTGTTGAGTCTTTAGGAACAGGTCACAAACCCCCAGCAGCTTTGTGGACCACAGGTTGAAATCCACTTTCCTAGCAGAAAGAAATTAAGCCTTCTGATTGTTGAGAGATCAATAATACATCATAACTCATCCCACTGCAAAAATTTCTACCCACCACCCACCCATCTCGTGATCCACATTAGGCTACAGAAGGACACTTGTCACATAAGTGACCATTTGTTTGTTCTGTGCATGATTACAGGACCAAAGCAACACTTTATCAAAAATTACCCTTCCTCTCCAAGAAAAAAGAAAAACTGTCTTGAAGCTTGAATGCCTAGTTATCATAATTTGCTTTGCCACTGAAAAAAACCATCAAAAAAATGTAAAAAGTCTATCACATCAGCTTTTGTTCAGAAGCCATCTGTTGCTTCAGTGAAGCCACAATCTATTTGTATAACATACCTTCATCACTTTTCTCACAGGGAACCTCCATGTCTCAAAATAAAGCTAATCTCTCCCCTTTCCCTTGTCCCTCTTATTACCTAACCCTTCTAACCTTGCTCCAAGTACAGCTTGCTTTGGCAAACAACATGTACTGACTGTGCAAATGGCATCTAACTTTGCTAGGAAAAGGTTACCAAAACACAAAGTACGGGGGCAGAGTGGCAAAGATGAATGGATGAGAATAACGCATAGCCTGGTCAGACCTTACTTAGTGAGGACTTGAAGACAGTATTTCTGCTGCATCTGAGACACCATTAGCTTTACACATTGAACTGAGGTAGCTAGACTGCCCTTCTTTCTACAGTCTGGCTAGATTTTTGCACATGTGTATATCTACACATATGTACATACATGTATGCATATCTGTTCATGTGTATATGCACGTTTATACATACTTTCAGGCTCTCAGAAGGATGCTTCTATTAGACTTCTACGTCATTTTTAGCTCCTGCTACCCCGTGATTTAGACCAAGAAAAGCCCTTTTGAAGTCTGAATTGTTATTATTGAAGAGCAAAAGTAGAGATAGCCCTCCTGTACAACCAAATCTCTCCTTTACGCAAAAGAAAGTGGCACACAGGGCAAGTTTCGGAGCTACTTGCTTATTTCCTTTTCATCTATAAGCTTTACAAATACTGAAGGTCCTTTAAAGGACTTTGGACTTTGGCACTCAGGCTCCAAACCAAGAGACAGTGTATAAATAACAGAGAGAAAAGACTTAAGATTCTCATACACTGAAAAACATTACTGACTAGGAGATAGCTGCTTAATAGCTTTCTGACAGTAAATTACTTGGAGTTTAACAGTAATATCTGACATAATGTCACTTGAGTAAGTTAGTATCAAAGCTCACTTAACTGATAAAATTATTTTAGGATATCTTGTCAGCAAGTAACAGGATTAGAAGATATTTCAGTCCCTCATTCCCTCACATGGCAAACCTTTCAGCATTGAAGGACAGCTACTAAGAAATCGACACACTCATTAGTAATATCCCTTACTGCTTTCTAATATAATTCTCTCAGGAAAAGATCTTATCCCCCTGGAAAAGGCTTATCACATTTGAATGCATTGTTTCATGCATGGAAGCCATTTTCTATCCTCTCAATAGCTTAGATGCTGGCACTTTAACTCAGATGGGATCAGAGCAGAAGTCCAGCCTTTTTAATGCCCTCTGATGCCAGCCAACACGAGGCATTTCTGCAGAAAGGCTGTTAAGAGATGCAGACGTGAGGACAGTCTGCCCCTTCGAGTTCCACCCTCATCTCTGAATCAGCTCAGATTCTGAGCATGGAATATAATGGTTCAGTCTAAATGTAACTCCAGTTCAGGTTCATTAACTAGTCCCTTTATTCTTGTACTACAAGGCAGAACAAGGTTCTCTACTTTCCTACTTGCTTCACAGTACTCGGTTTTATAAAGACTCAACATTAGCTCCTTAGGAAAGAAAAGACAAAAGTCTTGGTCCTCCCAGTGGCTTCACAGAAGAAACTTTCTCCTACTCATTTTATTGCCCTTCTTCAAACCCCTCAACTTTAGGAGAATTCTTTTTCAGACATCAAACTGTACAACACACTTTATTTCAGGTGAAGTCCAGCAACTGATAGAATACTTCGCTCATACTATGTGCTCTAGCATTCATTTTTGACCACAACTGTATGTGCCTTCAGCAATGAGCAAGATATCTTTCTTCTGCTAGCAATGTTAAATCTTTCCTTGGTGTACAAGTAGTTAATTTTTCTGCCTCAAAAAAGAAAAAAAAGCACCCTAGATCTTCATGACAGTGCAGTCTAGTAATCTTTCTTACTTAAGTTTTTCCAAACGACATACTGGTTCTTAGTAATATGAGTAACTACAGAGAAATTCAGCCCCTTTAATGGCCACTTCCAAGGACTTTATTCTGAACATCACAAATCCAGCAAGGACTCCTGAGGTTCCTCACCACTCATGCCTCATTTCTGGAGATCCCACTTTCCATCATGGGGGTGGATGAGATGATGATTTTGGTGCTTCTTTAGCTCCTTGCTTTCGGAGGAATTTCTTTAATACAAGAAAGAATCAATACCCTTTTGTTCTAAGTGTATTCACACTACCTTGTAATTATTCAGTGCTGAATAATTAGCACTCTCTTGTTTTGAGCATCCCAAAATAACTGCTTTCTATGTCTTCACTTTTTAAGAGTTTACACTAGCTTATTATCTACTGCTATCAACATTTGGAGAAATAGCTGTTCAAACTTGACCCACATGGTATGAAATAAAGCTAATACACACTTAAGTACAGCGATACATGAATTTTGGGTCTGTATCTGCACCAACAGCAGACAGCCATTGGCTTATCTACATGTTTAATGTTACATCTTTGGATTACAGGACAGAAATTACATGGGTCTTTCTATCATTCAACAGCTACCCTGAGCTGTTTATTAGTTACCGAAACAGGAAAAAAAAAAAGTCTTTAACCTCAAAACAAATTTGACACAGCTATCTAAGTATAACTTAAGTCTTCCTTCCTATCTACATTTTGTTTGCTATGTACAGACCTTTTTCTTGCTTACTACAGTTTACTACAGGAAAGCAGGTAACAGTTGTGAAAAGAAAGCAAGCTATTTCAAGGATTGCTCCATTACTTCAAAGAAAAACCAAAACAGTAGGCATTTCTTTGCAATGGATGACTTTTAATTTTTCTGCCAAAAAAAATGGTTTGTGTAAGTGACATGCTTAAATAGCAAAGCATATAGCTGTCAATGATGTTTCTCCTCCACTGCCCTGCCTCCTCAGGTCTAAAAAGCAGATAACTAATCAAGGTGATCAGATGCAGCAAGAAAGTGCTAGAAGCACAGAGGAAGAGATGTAATTAATGTATTTGAGTTACAGTGAAAAAAGGAGAAATATAAACAGCTTCACTGAGTGTGCAACAGCAAGACATTTTAGCCTGTTTTAGGTCATCATAAATCTCCCTCACAGAACACTAGCTTTTATAATAAAAGACCAGCTTAGCCATTAAGTAAAATGAGTGCCTAAGAACATTTAGAGACTGAGAGCAGTTCGACATCTAATTACATGGATTTCAGCCTCCAGTTATCAAATCTTAAAGCACAGCAATTCATGGCAGGCAGCCTAAATCCTTTAGTTGAACTTTTCTTCCTCAAAATAGCACACAATATATTCCAATATCCAAGCAAAAAAATGCTGCCAGCACATATGGCATATTTGCTAATAACAAAGTAAGCATTTAAGAAAGGCATTCCAGCAGCCAAGAGTTTTATTTGCCAAGAATTCAGATTTTTTTTTTTTTAATAGAAAAATGTTTCTTTTTACATAGGAAACCAAGACACAAGGGATGCATGAGTTCATATAGATTTCAGGAGGCTGCAAAATATGTCCATGTAAAAACCATTCTCAGAAGCCAACATTCAAAATAAGATGAAGAGCGAAAACACCTTCTTTGAGGCAGCTCACATCCTGACATTAACATTTGCATGACAGGTTTCTACAGAAAAAGCTGTTACAGGTACTTCAGTCCCTGAATCGTCAGTCTCAGTTGAAGAGCTTAAATATTAAGAAATGGGAGCAAGAATGTCCTGTTTTCCAAGTACTGACTAATCCAGATGTGTAACAACTTCTCCCTTCACTGGAGTCTCATCCGTTTTTCAGGTGGTCCTTTAGCACCAGCACTCTGCTGAGCATTCTTTACAGTCTCTTTTTCCTCTGGCTTGACAGCTTCAGGGGCTGGTTCTGGTTCCTTCTTGATTTGATCCACTTAAGAAATCACAGCAAAAGAAAGTTAAACCTCCAATTTTTATTCTTAAAATAAGAATACTTAGAATACTTAGAAAATATTGTTGATGTCAAAGGGGCAAAATTAATTTCAAAGGTATAAGAATAACCAAGGACTAAATTCATACCTATATGGGTAAAAAAAGTGGAATAGATTGAAGAGATACAGAGTTCATGATTTTGCTGTTTTGAGGTTGCTTATGATCAACTCAAAGCCTTCACATGCTTTCTTCAGCTTGTAGCACCATGCAAAATTACTAAGATGCTGGACTGACCAAACTGTTCCCTCATTCACCCTTTTACCCTCCTCCTGCTTTCAAAGACCATTTCCTGCATTTGGACCTTCAGGCAATACAGTTTTGCAGACAGACAGGTCAGGAGCAGAGTACACTTTTTTTCAGTTTCACTCTGGCTGTCACAGAGAACTCTTACCTAGTACTTTGCACAATTAGGCAATGACAGAATTCCTAACTACCTTAGTAGCAGCAGCAAGGAGCTTATACGGCAACTGGAAGACACTGCTATATAGAGCCTACTTTTAAAGTCTTGTGAAAATATTAGAGTTTTACCTGGGATAGGCTTTTCTCCAGGCTTTTGCTGTGGGGGAGAAAAAAAAAAAAAAAAA